GATTTGGACATGTGCTGACTGCTCCTCCAGGCAGCTCCTTCTCCACACCAAGGGAAACTGAGGCAAGGGAAACCAGCAGGAGGGTCCTGGCTGTGGGATCTGCCAAAATCCATCCCAGCTTCTTGCAGGTGTGGGGACTGTGGAATCACAGAATCCTCAAAGTTGGAAAAGTCCTCCAAGATGATCAATCCAGCCTGTGACCAGCCTTGCCCCACAGGCATCCTCCTCACTGAGCACCAACCTCAGTTTGCCCACGATGGAGGGGAAGGGTCTGACCCCAGAAAGCTCTTGTGGCTCTTTGTTTTTTAAACACACCCAAATCTAAGCTCTCCTCCCCGGAGGCTCCAGCCCTGACTTGTTCAGAGTGAGGAAAGAGGCCAAGAGAGCATGAAGGAGGACTCAGGACCAGGGCTGGGCCCCCCAAACCATCCCCTTGCAGCCACCCAAACACCTCCAGGGAGGCTGAGCTGGACAGAACCGAAATGAGCCACAGGTCAGGGGCTGAAGGGTTTGTTCCAGTACGGGAAGACACCTGGGATCATCCAAAATCACCCCAAATCCGATACACGTGAGCCAAAGCCAGCAGTGCAAGAGGGAGTTTGACTCTCCAGCCTCATCCTCCCGGGGATGGGGAGAGTCTGCTTCAAACCCAGCTCCCCGTGGGAATGTTCTGCCCCACCCTCACATCCATCCCAAACAAAGATTCATTCCCCATTTATTTAGGCATCATTCTGCCTCAAACTCTCTCTGGCCCAATATTCAGCACCAGCAGCTTTCCCTTTATTCCTCTTCCCACCACTTCCCAGCTCTTCATGGGAGTGTCCATAGCTTTTGTCGCAGCCTCTGTGTGCTCCCTGCACCCTCTCCTAGGGCCCTCCAGCCTCCACCAGATCTCAGGGCTGGTTTCCAAGGCCTTCAGGCCCATCCCTGAGGCTGGAAGGAGAAGCAGACACAATCTGGGAAAGAACAAGTAGGATTTAGGTGGAAAAAGGCACAAAACAAGAGGGGAACCACTGCTGGGCAGGGAATAGAGGTTTATTCATCTGTTGCCTCCAGAAACTTGAGACTGGTTTTAAAACAAACCAAACAAAATAAAAGCTAAAAATATATGAATTCAGCCATTTCCAGCACAATGAGATATAATTTTATGAGTCAACTTGTCCTCCTCGTGTTTCCACCAGCCTTTAGCCCAAAGCAAACGGCCCACGGGAGGGAGGGCTCGACACCAGAGGGAATTGCAGGGTTTATTTGGGATGAATAAGGTCTCAAGGAGGGGAAAAGTCTCCCAACACCTACTCCAGGGACTGTCCGTACACGTGGACACGAGACAAGCTCAGTGGAGGCGTTACAGGTCCTGCGGCCGGGGCAGGGGGAGCTGGAGAGGGTCAGAACCAGCTCCTGGGGATGGAGAAATCCCAGCTGGGGCTGCTCTGGGCTCTGGAGACGCGGTGGGGCCAGGGGGACACAGGGGGCACAGCGAGGTCCTTTTAGAGGATGGAGGGGACGGGGGAGCAGGGGCGCTGCAGGGAGCAGGGGGAGCTGCAGCGGGACGCCAGCGGAGCCAGGCCCACCGCGGATCCTGCCACACCATCTATGCTGCTCAGGCTCCGGGATTTTCCATAGCCTCGGTGAAGAAAACAGACAGGTTAGAGCCCAGCAGCCTCCTGCCCGAGGCTCGGGAAGCTGAGAGCGCCAGGCTGAGCCCCACACCCCGAGCAACCCCCTAGAAAAATTCAGGAAGGGATTTTTGAGGACAACCAGGCTCCCGTGGATCCTCCAGACCTTCCCACTCCCTTCATCGAGCAGTGCCGGCCAAATCCAGGACTCGAGAGTCATCAATGAGGAGACCAAATTGCTCTTGTAGGGTGTTGGGTTTTGTTTCCCAAATTGCTCTGAATGAGGAATGAGTCTGGGGATTTTGTGGGCTGAAGCAGACGGGGAAAAGCAGCAGAACTCAAACAAATATGGGATTTGGAAGGAGTGATTCCCCAGCTCTGGTTTTTACACCCCTGTAGCAGCAAGCTGCTGCTGACACCTTCCTGTGTGGAAAGGAGCAGGTAGATGTGCTCATTATTTCCATAAGAAGTTGCATTAAAGAGCAGATATTTCTATTTCTTTAAGCACGGGGACCCTTCACACTCCCCCAAAGAGGCAGGAATTTCTCCAGCTTTTATTGAAAAAGCAACAGCCAGAAGAAATCTTCTCACAGGTCAAAAACCACTTTTCTTGCTGGAAAGACACAAAGCCTTTGCACTGAAAACTGCATTTGGAGCTCCACAGAGCACCACTGCTGAGGATGAGGCTGTTCCCTGGGTCTGGTGCCAAAAGATGGAAAATTGATGATGCTCCCAGCCGTGCTGAGCCCAATGTCCCCAGGCCTGGATCTTCCCTGAGAGCACCTGGGTGAGCAAACCCAGCCAAGCCTGGGCCTTCCCAAGGCACCAGCGAGTTCCAGGGAAAGCAAAGCCAGGGAAGCAGCGTGTGGGGGGGTGGGGAGCAGAGGGAGGCAGCTCCTGACAGCAGAAAAACAAGGTGATGGATGGCCCCTTCGGCACTGCCAGGCTTGGAACCCCTCCCCGTGTCCTGCCCCAGGAGCTCGTGGCACACCTTTGGGTTCTGCTTTGGTGCTGGTTGGGGCTTGGACCAGGGGTGTCGCAGCAGGTCAGTCACAGCATCACCCTCCCACACCCCCTCCGGGGGACGCCGAGACAGGAGCACCCCCTGGAAAGGCTCCAGGGCACCACCTCATCAAATCTGGGGGTTGACCCCTTCTGACATTTCTTTCCCAGCCCCAGCAGCCAGCAGGGATCCTTCAACCCCTCCCCACCTCTCAGCCCCCCAGGAGACACAGCTCCCCCAGCTGCCGAGCGGGGGCAGGTCCAGGGGACAGAGGGACACCTGCCCAAAGCTGGTGCTGACTCCAGCAAAGCTCTCCCCATCCCCACAGTGGAACAGAACAGAAGCAGGCCTGAGGAGAAGAGCAATTTCCTTATTTACTTCTTGGCACGGATCCACACAGTGAGCGAGGAGGGAAGCGAGCACAGCCCTGAGCTGGGGGGAGCTGGGAGCTGCCCACCCACAGCAGCTGATGCGAAGACCCCTCTGCTCCCCACAACACTCCCAAAAAACCACCCTGGGCTCATCCCTCCTTGCCTTGCTCTTTTCCCCGGGCGTGCTGAGGCTCTTTGAGGAGCTCAGGCGTTTCCTGCTGCCCTGAGCCGTGTGGGAAGCAGCCGTGCTGAGATCCCAGCGGTCCCTGAAAGCTTGGGGCAAGCCTGGGTGCAGCACCCAAACAGCAGCAGGAGGTGTTATGGGGTCAGGGTTTGCAGTGCAGGGAGCTGCTGCTGGGGCTTGTGGGGGTGATCATTGCCTCTCATCCCAAACTGAATAGGAAAGGGTGCAAACAGGCGCAGAAACAGGGTCAAAACCACGCTGCTCACTCTGATAAAGTCTCAAGCATCACATTTTGGGACAGGGCTTCATAAAGATGTTTGATTTTCCCAGGGACTCTCTGCTGACCTGCCCCGAGCCCAACGCTTCGTTCTCTCCATCAGTTTATCCCAAGCCACGCTTGCAGGAGCACCTGGAAGGAGCTCAGGACTTGGTCCCTCAAGGCTTTCCCACCACACCCAGGGCCAGGTGTCACCAGAGTGAAGCCACAAAGCACAGGGGAGTCGTGCTCTGCTAATTGCCACAGCTGATGAACAGAGCTGCTGTCCCAGGAAGTCGCCCCGGGGCTACCCGGGGTCACCGGGACTGCTTTAGGATCAGTTGCCCATAAAACAGCCCTGGTGGCCCCCGGGGCTCCTCCCAGACCGTGGCTCTGCTCGAACAGGCACAGGCTGGGAGCTGCTGGCAGCTGGGATGGGATAAAACAGGGAGGCAGCAAAGGCCAGGAATGTCCTGCTGCTGGGGACAGGGTGCAGCTCCTGTGGGGTCGTGTCCCCATGCAAATGTGGGCTGGTCCTCAGTTTCCCCCAGCCAGGCAACTCCAGGGGATGCTCCCGTGAGCGTTCCCAGCTTGATCTCAGCCTGCATGCTCAGGCCATGGGAGAGTCATGGCCCTGAACTGACTGCAAGAAGTCAGTCAAGTTCTGCAAGAAACAGAGGGAAAATCAGCAGCACGATGCTCTACGGAGCCAGAAATTGCTGTTAATGTGCTGATAAAGGAGGTGGAGATTTTTAAGAGACGCAGAGATGTGGCACATGGGGACGTGGCTCAGTGGCTGAGTGCCGGGGGCAGGTTGGGCTCGTAGAGCTCTTTTCCAGCCCAGGTGATCCCGTGGTTCCATCCTAACCAGTCTCACTGGCTGGACTCATCCTGCCTCCCTATCCCTCCATTCAGGCAGGGGACAGGGCCAGGACAGCCCCGTGCCAAGGTGTCTGCACCCAGCAGGACACATTTTTGGGAACTGCTGAGCAGGACCCCAGTGCTGAGGGGAGATAAAGGGTCTGGAGCCATCCCTGGCAGCCAGGGAGCAAAGCAATACCACTGGAAACAGCCAGAGGAACCAGAAACACATTCCAGATAGGAGCCCACAGCAATCCAGCTCAATCTGCTGCAGGCTCAGGTCCAGGGGCAGGAGCAGCTCTTCTCTCTGAGCTGCCCTAACAAGACCAAGAGCTGGAGTCGGGGTTAAGCCACAATGAATGCCGAGATCTGCAGCTCATTCCCAAACCAGCTCCCTCTCCTGATTTCCACAGCTTGTACAGACACCAGTACCTGTCCCAGGATCTGACAGATGGCCATCACCGAGTCGGGCTCAGAACCAAGCTCATCACAATTTGCAGAGCTGCCAACATCCCAGTACCAGAACAAACAGCCTCAGCAGGAGATAAATCAAGACCAAGGGAAGAGGCACCGCTGTGGCTCCCAGCAGCTTTTGGCTGGAGGCTGCTTGGCCCCCTGGTCACCTCTGGTCACCTCTGGTCACCTCTGGTCACCTCTGGTCATTTCTGGTCACCTCTGGTCATCTCTGGTCATCTCTAGTCACCTCTGGTCATTTCTGGTCACCTCTGGTCACCTCTGGTCATTTCTGGTCACCTCTGGTCATCTCTAGTCATCTCTGGTCACCCCTGACCCCTGAGCATTTCACTAGGCCAGCCCTGGCCTCCCAGGACAGTCTCCCACCCGTCTGTCCCACAGCCCAAGCAGGACACAGGTGCTGAGGTTCCCTATTCCCAAAAGGTCTCAGGTACAACTGGAGCCCCTCTGGACACCAGCTCCAGCTTTCTCCAGACACATCACTCCAGCAACATGGGGATGAGTGACCCGTGCACACCTTCTGTTTTAAAGTGTAAAAGGCTCTCTGAAATTTGCGGGGAGGACACCAGAACACCCCAAGAGCCACCACCACAGTGCCCTTTCAAAGAGCTGCTGCTGCCACCACACGAGGACAGAAATCTCCTGGTCTCCTGCGATGCAGTCCTGGGATTTGTGAGTGAGTGAAAGCAGCTCTGGATCCTCAGCTCTTAGAGCTGCTCCACTTCTCCTGGCTTCAGTGGGACCAGATTCAAATGCTTCAGCTGAAGCCTGACTTCAGCATTTTCTAAGGGGGAAGATCAGCACTGGCTTTCATCCCTCTCCTCCATCCCTTCCAGTTCAGCATTCCAGTCTGAAATGGGACTAAACCTCTCTCCCTTCTCCACACAAACAGGCAGTAAGAGACCAACTTCACAGGAAAAGGCACTCACAGGGAAAAAACATCAGGCTTTTCAAGCAGGTATTTGATGGTACCCCGAGGATGAGTGAAGCTTTTCCTCGCTGTCCTCTTTCTGAGGCTGAGCAGCAATGCCAAAGGGAATCCTTGATTTTCCAGGAGGAAACAACCAATTTGCTTGTACTACTGATCAATGTGATTGTCCCAAACACCTCCCTGCTTCCCACCCCGAGCAGTTCCAAAAGGAACAAACCCTTGAGGCTCTCCAAAGCACCAACAGCTCTTGGGGAGCAGCTCAGAGATCAGCACATCATCCCTTCTCCTGCTGGTCCCAGCTCCCAGGCACTGTTCCCTGCCAGTGATGGGCACCACTTGGTACCAGGGAGGTAGAAGTAGGTCAGCCCTGCAGCTGCAGCATCCCATGCCACCCTGGACACACAAAACACTGCACAACTGGAAATCTGAGCTGTGCCCTAAGAGTTATCCCAGCAACTGAGGGTGCAGCTTGATTTTGGGGCGCTGGTTTTACCCTCTCTGGGGCTGGAGTGCTGGGAGATGGGTAGAGGAGCAAAGAAGCCTGAGACCAGGTTGGAGAAGATTTTGTTTTGTCATGGGAAGAAGAGTTTTGTGTTTTCCTGACTCATCTCCCCCTCAGTTTCCCATGGAAAACCTCAACACTTAGCACAGCTCCTGTTCCAAACCCAGAGGAGCCTTTCTGGCAGCCCAGAGCTGCTGGCAAGGCAGCACTTGACACATCTCCCCACGCTCGAACCCACTGAAAGCCACCGGAGGGGAGAGGAAGGGAAAAGCCTCTGGATTCTTTTTTGCCTACTGAAAACCTTTTGGTCACCTTCAGTCACAACCTCAGCACGTCCCCAGGAGAGATGTCCCACTCACAGCATCCAGAGACGAGTGGACCCAGGGAGAGGAGCTGGGTTGGAGCGCTCTGTCCCCAAGGAGGGCAGTGCAGCCAGCACGGGGTCACAGACCCCAGATGGGGACAACAGGGGAGGAGAAAACAAAACGTGGAGCCAGCACGGAGAGATGTGTTGGACGGAGGTGAAGCAGATGGAGAGGCAGGAAGACGCGGATTTGGGGAGCAGAGAACAGCCAGGCAGGCGGATGGAGATGAACCAGTCTTGGATCGGCTCAACAGAACTCGGCCTCCACCTCTCCCTCCCCACCCGGGTCCTGCTCACACCTCCAGCCGTACCTTTCTGGATGCCTCCGTCCGCCGCACAGGAGAAGTCCCCCGTGGCCAGCAGGAAGCAGGTGGAGGATTTCTTGTTCTTGTCCCGGGTGCTGGAGCGCCGCATTGGCCGCTTCTCCTCGTCCGTCGGGGACAGCGGCTGCTCCTCGTCTGACAGCACCACGTTGGCCTCACCGTTCTGCTTGGAGTCTGCAAGGAGGTGGCAGAGACCCATCAGCAGCTGACAAACCCACGGGAGAAAGCGCTCAGGACAGCCAGAAGCGGCTGCTCAGGCCGGGCAAGGAAGCAGAAGAGCAGGTTGCAGGTGTCCCAGAGCAACACCCACCAATTCGGGTGCTGATCCCAGCCTGGACACGCTCATTTAGAGCAGCCAGGGGAGCAGGACAAAGACAGATGTAATTCCAAGCAGCTCTAGTCCTGCTGAGGGTTATAAAACCTGCATGAAGCCAAAGCTGGGCTGAAACACCCCAGGTTTTTGAGATCCACCCACCTAATTGGAGGGAATTAGCTCTCCAAAATTCACACTGCTGAGGAACGGGCTGCTCGGGGTAGTGGGAAGTGCTAATTTATGTCCCCTGGCTCCCTGGTTCGTTGGCTGGGAGGATGCTCTGCCACGTGAGGGCCTGGCCTGGGCTCCTGGCTCTAACTGTTCCCTGCTGCCAGGGCTCCTGGGGCAGATGGGATCCTCAGGCGTGTGGAAAAAGGAGATTTATAAAGGAAAAGAGCAGTTTGGGGCAGCTGGAGCTCCCTGTTTCCCCACCAGGGGAAGGCCCATCACTGTTAAACACCTGTGGCCAGATGTGCAGCTGCCCAGGGCTCCAGTGTTGGTGCAGGACACAGCCCCACCATGGGAACTCCTGTTCCAGACACCCCAGAGGTGCCACTGGCAGCAAACCAAGACAAAAAGGGGCAGAGCAGCCAGCATGGCCAGCACCGGCAGCGGGGCAGGGCTCACACAGACCCCCAGAGTTAGCCCAAGGGATGGTCCCCACAGCTGGGCTGTGCCTTCTCCTGGTCCAAAGGGAAGACTGGCCAACCCCCAAACTTCAGCTCAGTGTGTGAGAGGAAAAAAAGAAACATCCAGGGGCTGGTTTTGCTCAGGATTTGGTGCAGCAGGCCAGGGATTCAGTCTAGCAGCAGATGAATGAGGAGGTGGGGTCAAGCTCCAGGGAATGTCCATGGATTTATCAATTTGGTGAAAGTTACCCTGATTTATGGTGGGAGGAAGCAAAGGAAAAATCTGTCCCAAAGGCATGACCAGGCTAACATGGGAGTAGGGCAAGCGGCCTTAGCTCTGTCACTGTGAGGGAGAGGTGGGCTAGGTGGGGACACCTTGAAACCCACCATGGTGACTTGATGTGTGCCATCAGGAGGGGAGGATACAGCCCTTGGGGAAGCAGGATATGGCCTTTGGGGAAGCAGGATATGGCCTTTGGGGAAGCAGGATGTGGCCTTTGGGGAAGCAGGATGCGGCCTTTGGGGAAGGAGAATGTGGCCTTTGGGGAAGCAGGATGTGGCCTTTGGGGAAGCAGGATGTGGCCTTTGGGGAAGCAGGATATGGTCTTTCCCCCCTGCCTGGATGGGGGATTTGACCTGCAGCGCCCTGGTCCACCAGCATAGCCCCCAGCCCTCACACCCGAGGGGCCCAGCCTTTTCTGCCCCAGCCCAGAGCTGGGGCCATGTCCTGCCCACACAGGGGAGCAAAGGCATCGCCTTGAGGGCTCCTGGATGTCTCCCCCTCCCTCGGCCCCACCTTTGGGGTCTCACCTGACCGTTTCCGCTCAATCGCCCCCTCCTCTACTGCCAATGGGCAAGTGTCGCTCTGGGTGCTGTTCCGGGGGGAGTTTTCCTCGGATTTGCCGTAGGTGGGGGAGTCCAGCGGGGCCGGACGGGGTATATGCTTTTTCTTCTTCTTTGGCAGCTTCTGCTTGGCCATGGCCAATGAATAGTACATCCCAAAGTTATTGACGATGACGGGCACGGGCATGGCGATGGTCAGCACCCCGGCCAGGGCGCACAGGGCCCCCACCACCATCCCCGACCAGGTCTTGGGGTACATGTCACCATAGCCCAGGGTCGTCATTGTGACCACGGCCCACCAGAACCCAATGGGGATGTTCTTAAAGTGAGTGTGGTCGCTCCCGGTGGGGTCGGACGTCTTGGCTCCGATCCGCTCGGCGTAGTAGATCATGGTGGCGAAAATCAACACCCCCAAGGCGAGGAAGATGATGAGGAGCAGGAATTCGTTGGTGCTGGCCCGGAGCGTGTGGCCCAGCACCCGGAGACCCACAAAGTGCCGTGTCAACTTGAAGATCCGGAGGATGCGGACGAAGCGCACCACCCGTAGGAAGCCCAGCACGTCCCGGGCAGCTTTGGAGGACAGGCCACTGAGACCCACCTCCAGGTAGAAGGGCAAGATGGCCACGAAGTCAATGATGTTGAGCAGGTTTTTAATGAAGAGAAGCTTATCTGGGCAGCAGATGATGCGAACCAGGAACTCGAGGGTAAACCACAGCACGCACACCCCTTCGATGTAGGTGAGGATGGGCTCCGTTTCCACTTTGTGTGTCAGCAGCACCGTCGTGGTGTTGCCGACCACCAGGGTCTCCGTCACGTTGACGTCGATGTTGAAGGCCTCGTGCGTCTCCAGGCAGAAGGTTGTGATGGAGACCAGGATGAAGAAAAGCGAGGCGAAAGCAACCACCTGTGAAAGTCAAAATTACACGGGCTGTGAGCTGATGTGGGACAACCTCTTCTGTTTGGAGGTGAGAACTCTCCAGGTGCTGCCACCCACTGCCCCAGGACCAAGGGTGGAGAATGAGGACGGATCTCTGGACCTCTCCCATGAGCTGACAGCAAACCTCAGTGCTTGGGGCCATCAGTCCAGGACCTTTCTCCAAGTGCTATGATCTGTACAGGAGAAGGAGTGCTGGAGATGTGCCAGGAATGGCAGTGGTGGGGATGAGGGAGAACTGGGACAGGCTTATACTGGAGCGATCTTCCAGTGGGAGCAGACATGGAAAGGGAATTTTGACAGGACAAATTCAAAGAGCTTTCCCCCACATCCATCACTAACCCCTCTAGAAGCCAGGTTCACACTTCACAAACGTGAGCTTTGGGATCTGGATGTGTCAGAGATGTCCTTTGCCCTCTCCCTGGGGGTCAGTGGTGGGTGATGTGCCCACAGAAGGTCCAGGACTGGGAGGGCCGCATGAGGAGAGGAGCAGGCAGAGCTCAGCCTCCTGCTGATGCCTGGACCTGGTGACACCCCGATGTTCCCATTTCTCCATTGCTCTGCCCAAGCAGGGAGACCATCGTCCCCTCCATGTCTCCTCCTCTCGGATGTGAGCGAGGAGGGGCCAGCAGCACGCATTGGAAGTCACAGGCTGTGTCACAAAGTACCACCTTGTTGTGCTCCCATCAATCCTGGGATGGGATCACGTCAGGATCCCAATCCATCGTGATTCTGCTCCCTCCCTCATGGCAATCCCATGACCTGGAGCATCTGTTTCCAGGAGCCACCCCCCTATCCCCCCCCGCCCCCCCCTCCAAAAAAAAGCTTCAGAGCAGAAGAACTCTTGTTCTACCTTTCTCCAGCACAAAAGCACGGTGGTTTTGGCTCCCCGGGAGCAGGTCCTGCTGCAGCCCCTTCGCTGCACCTGCAGCAAGCAGGACGTGACCTCTCGCTGTCAAACCCACCCGAGCGGCTGCACTGGCAGAGCCGCACTGTGAGGCTGCTCCAGGCGACAGCCCGGATCCTCGGCTGGAGTGAATCAGCAGCAGAGACAGCCTGAGTCACGCTGGAGAAACACCCGGCCCCGGACAGCAGCAGGGCCGGCAGCCCCGAGCCTGCCAGAGCATCCTTGAGGGGTGTCCCCAAGGGCAGATCCGTGTGGGTCCACCACAGAGAACAGCAGCCCTGCTAGAGTCTGGTGTGAAGTTTAAATCAGGCATTAAATGATGGAGAAACCTCTGGAAGATGATCCTCCTGCCCCAGTGGGAGACACCTGCTTGGGGATGGAGCGAGATGCTCCTCACCCCTCAGTCAGATCCCTTTGGACCCTGCATGGGGATTCAGCTCTGAAGGCTGATCAGCCGTGTGCGGTTTGGGAAACAAATCCAACAAAACTGGGATCTTAAAGCAAGGCCAGCTTAACCAGACAAGTGTCTCTACACAGTGGTGGCACAGCCAAAATAATCCGCTTTGCAGCTGAGGGCTGAGTCACGTTCCTGAGCTTCCCCGTATGGGGAATCTTGGGAAAACCTGAGGAGTAAAAATTTAGACTTAAAGCAAAGTAGAAAGAAAAAAATCACCCAGGAAGGCAGTGAGACCATGCAAACACTTGAGTAATGAAGCAGCCCTGCTGCTGGGTGTGAGGTGAGACCTGATTTAGCCCAAGGAGCAAAATCAGCCTTTAAAAATAGAAGAGTTGGATTCACAGCCGGTGCCAACCATAGTGTCCCCCCAGAGTGCTGCTCCAGTTCCGTGTCTGACCCAAGGTGTCTCACCTCAGCTTCAGTCTCTGCTCCAAGCTCAAGTTCTTTTCCAAAAATGTCTTTAAAGCAAAATCTATGTATAAACCCAGTACTACCAGTACACACCAGAACTCCCTCCAGAGCATGCTGATGTTCTACACAATCTTGACCTGCACTCAACAGCTTGAGATAGGTGTTCCCAAAAAATCCATGACCCTACAGAGCCTGGAAGTCCCCATGAAAGTGAGGTCAGGACTCCCCAAGTTGGGTTGCAAAGGGAAAAAATAATGAGGAGCTGCAGGTAAGAAGAGTTTGGACGTAGAGGCAAAATCCCAGCCAGGGCAGGTTCCCATGGGGAAGAAGAGTGTTGAGTTCCAGATGGGACAGCAGTTGCACCAGGGACCAAATATTCCCTGGGTGGATTAGACTGAGGAGCCAGGGACCCATGGCCATGGATGGTGCATGGAAAAGAGGCTAAAACATGGCAGAGATCTCTAACCATGCACTCACAGTCGCCAGCTCAGGAGGAGAAACGCTGGAGGGAGGGAGGGAAAGACAGAAATAACAAGGAGCCAACTGAGTCAGGGCCCGAGGGGCTGCTCCATGGAGAGGAGCGAGGACCAGAGAAATTCAGCCCTTGAGACTCTTAGTCACAGCTGCCACACAGCGAGGGAGAGGGTTTACATGGACAGCCTGGGACTGCTGCTTCCCAAGGTTTGGCAACGTGTTGTTCAGCGCTCCAGCACATTCCCTGCAGCCAGCAGCGCCCCTTTGGCTCTGGAGAGAAAGGAGGACACCCCGAAATGGGGCATTAAAGAAATCCCAACCACCACAAAGCTCACCCACCACAAAAGCCAGGGCAGCGCCAGAAATGTTGTACCCTCAGGAATCCTGCAGTACTGGATGGTGACTCCAGCCAGGAACTGGATGCACTCACTTGGGCTGGTTGCCTTGCTCTGTGCCTCAGTTTCCCCTCTTGCCAGAGCAGTTCTCCTAAGCTATGGCAAAACTATACCAGTATTTTTTCCTGTTGTCTCTGGAAGTTGATGGTTCCCATGGCACTGCTGAGCTGAACATTCATCTCGAGCAGTGAGAAGAAAGCAGGGAGATCCCAGTACCAACTGGTCCCACTCCAGCCCCAGTCGGGCCTCAATCACAACCATCACTGCTCCCTCTAATACATTCCTCCTGCTAAAGCCTTTCCAGGAGCAGCTCAGCACACAGGAAAAGCAGAACCAAATGACACCAGGGGGAAAAAGACTAGTTGAATTATTCTGCTTGGGTTTATTTTTAATTTTGTTTAATTTTTTATTTGGAGCTTTACACCACTCAGAGCATCTCTCCAAGGTGAAGAGTCCTCAGAGATGGGCAAAGGAGGGGGTACCCTTTTAAAATGGGTTCAGCTCTTGCTGCCCGAGCATTCTCTGCCTGTGTGTGTTGCTCTAACATTTGCTGCAAAAACACCTCCTTGCCAAACTGACCCCTGCCCCGCGTGCTGCTCGTGGGTGTGAAATGCCTGCAGAATTTCTTACCATTGATGGGGTTTTTTTACACCTCTAAATGCATCCAGAATTCATCTCCATCCCAACTGCCTGCCTGTGTGTGTGTGCAGATTTATAAGCTGGGCGTGCCAGGGGCTGGGTGGGTATGGGTGGGTGTCGGGGGGTCGGTGGGCAGCGATTTGGGGATGATCCACGAGGAGCTGGGAGAGGAGATGGAGCGCAGGGAGCGCCGGCTGGGAGCCCGCAGACGCGCCTGGTTTGGGGGGACACATCCCGGGTGTGTTGGTGCTCGCGGGCAGGGAGCGGCTGCGTGCCCAGGGAGGGTGGAGAGGTCTCTGGTGCATGTGCTCAGGTGTGCTCAGGTGTGCTCAGGTGTGCACACACTCGGTACTGGGGCCATGCATGGTGAGGGGGCTGCGGGGCAGTGCTGGGTGTCATGGGCTCCGTGTGCTGTGGTGGGGACAGCGAGCAGGGGGGGCACGGGCACAGGGTGTCCCCTGGGGCTGCGGTTCCTGCACAGGAGGAGCGTGTGCTGCTTGGGGACAACCACCAGGATCCCGTTTGCTGCAGGAGCTGACCCCCAGCCCTGAGCTCCACGCCACACCTGAGCTGTTAAATGTGGGATTTGGCATTGTGCAGCCCAGCAAGAGGAACCCAAACATCCTATCCTAGAGCATCCCGAAACTCTGCCAGGAGTCAGCCCTGCCAAGGCCAATCCCTCATCTCCGTGTGCCCAGGAGGTGCCCAGGGAGCACTCGAGGGCACAAAGGGAACAGGGATTGTGCTTGGCCCCGGTTTCAGCCCAGCTCTCCCCGATGTGAAGTGCTGGGAGGGCACTGGGACACAAGGGAAGAGGTGTCCTGTAGGATGGGAGATGGCTCCCGTGCCCCACAGCAGGAGGGGACAGTTATGGGGTGGCCTCACGTAACCCACCAGGAAAGTCAGTCTTGCCCTCGAGGAGGGGCAGGTGAAGACACAACCCCAGCACAGCCCCACACCACGTCCCCACCGGAGCGTTTCGGGAGCTTACCCTTGCCGCCTTGGACGAGTAGGGATCCTCAAAGAGCGCCCACATCTTGGGCTGCCAGTTCCGGCAGCAGCCACCCCCTCCGGCAGCCCCTGCCGCCCCTGGGGGCCTGTCATCCATGCCCAGGCGCTGAAGGGCCATCTCCCTACCCCCTTCCTCTTCGGGCTCCTCTCCACCAGCCCCTCCACCAGGCTCGGGACTCTCAAAGATGTCCAGGGCCTCTTCGGCGTCGCGGTGCTGGCGGTAGGTCATCCAGCAGCAGGGCTCCACGTCGGTCTCGTCGATGCCCCAGTAGGTCAGCTCCTCCTCGAAGAGGGGCCCGCAGATGTCCGCGGGGCAGTGCAGCTTCCCCGTGCGGTAGTAGTTGAGCACGTAGGAGAAGATCCCGGGGTGACGGTCGAAGAAGAACTCGTTGCTTTTACCGTCAAAGTCAAAGTTGCTCTGGGCGTCGGGGTCAGCCAGCCAGGCCAGGCGGGTGCCCGGCAAAGTCCGAAGGGTGCTCTTGTAGGTCTCATGCCGGGTGCCCCCTACATTGATGGTGATCTTGTCCGACTCTTCCCCTTTGCCCATCTCTTCCTTCAGGCATGTTTTGGAGGGTGGTTTGTTCCCAGACTTGCGTCCACGGTAGGAGGAGACACACACCGAGCTGATCATAGATTTCGGTGGATGGGAGATGCCCACAGCGTGCACCCTTCCTCCGGGCGAGGAGCTGGGGTTCAGCGAAGGCGGGAGGGGAGGACAGAGCTGGGACTGGGGAGGGGAAAAGGGGGGGCTCAGGNGCTCCTGGGGCTGGCGAGGAGGTGAAGAGCTGCGGTGCCCCGGGGCCGGGGCTGTCGCCCAGGTGAAGACCCGAGGGACTCATCCTGCCAGCGCTGTTTACTTCTGCACCGGCACTGCTGGTGCTGCTGCACCGAGGGGTGGGCGATGGAGGGGTCCAGGCCCAGCACAGGCCTGTTGTTGGGGTGAGGCTCTCATCCAGGAGGGTCAGCACTTGGATAAGGGTGTTCTTGGTGCAGGGCGAGGGGACGTGGAGTGGGGGATGCTGCCTCAGCGCCCCTCTCTGCACCTCCCTGGGCTGTGCTGTGCATTGTCACCCCGCCAGGGCCCCTCCTCACCCCCTGCCCAGGTTTGTCCCCTCGGTGATGTGTCCCCAAAATCCGGGGGGCATGGAGGGGGCGGCTGGGGAAAGCGCTCCACCCAAAAAAATCCACGAGGCACGAGAGCCACGCTCGAATCTTACCACCGAGAAAGCCCTGCTCCAAGTGTGACTGCAACTCCACAGCTTCCAGGGCCGGATCCTGAGCGGGTGGAGGCTGGCGTAGCTCCACACCCAGAGCACCCGGAGCTGCACCAGCGGGAGAGCCTGGAGCCCGAGGGAAAACCGTGCTGGAAAAATCGAGCCTTGCATCACCGGCCAGGCATCGCAGCTCAGCTCCTCATCGTCGTAATGCGAGTTTGGCCAGGAGGAAGGAATGCTGCGACCTGATGCTAATATTTTATCTGTCGACTTTCATCCCGCCAGGAAGAGCTTCGTGCACCCAAGCGCGGCCGTTCCTGGGGTGGGAGGAGGTGGCCAAGCAGACAAATGAGTTGTTTCTGGGGAAGGAAGAGATCTTTTAACCAGCAACACCCGCCCAAAGCTGTCTGCTCTCTAAATATGCCTTCTGATTTTTAATGTCCATGGGAAAAAAAAAAAGAAAAAAAAAAAGAGAGAGAGAAGGAGAGAAAATGGAAAGAGCTGGATGAATAAGGGCCTTTTCAGAGCAAGGAGTTCTGCAGGGATGTCCTGCAAGGCTCAAGGCATCTCAGATAACATCCAGACAGAGGATGGAATAAAGAGCAGGACCTGGAAGATCTCAAGGAGGATCAGCTGTAACCTGGAAAGCCGTGGGTGGGTTCTGAGGACATGGTAAGGGGTCTCTGGACCTCCTGACCCATGGCCTCTTCCCCTGAGCCAGCACAGTGCCCTGAGCCTGGCCCATGGTCCAGCACATCAGGCACATCCCCAGAGGCAGGGACAGACCAGCAGGAGACAGCTCAGGATGCTCAGGGGGCTCACACAGAGGCTGGGGCCACACTGGGATCCCTCGAGGTCTCTGTCCACGGGAGGACAGAGGAGGAGGGTAGACTGCAGCAGTTTAGGGAGAGACAACCCTGTTTTGGTGTAGAAACAGCCAAACCAACCTCTCCAGGTCCTTCCAGAGTCCTGTTAATGAAAGGTGTGTTGTCCTCAGGAACCCTGGATGCTCCAAACAAGGTCTCTCCCCTCCCGTTTCTGGTGGGACAGATTCACCTCTGGTCTGTGTGTGGTGGTACCCAGGGCACTCCCCTCCCCAGGGCGGGATCCCCAAGAAACCTCTCCAGACTCTCTGGTGGAGGTGCTTCTTCCCCAAAAAAGCTGTGGACAAGCTCGGTCTCCGCTCTCTGCCAGGCGAGTGTTTGAGCTCCAGCTGCTCATTTTAGCAGCGCAGGTTCCATTAAACACCGGCAGAGTTTGCGGCCCCATCCCTCCCTGAGCTCCGGCCGGCAGGGGATGGAGCTCGCCCGTGCCGATGGTTCCCGGGCGGGGAGCGCTCCGCTGTGGCCGTGCTCTGGCACACAGTGCCACCTCGTGTCTCCCGGAGCCCCGGCAGCCCGAGCACGGCCTGTGCCGGGCTCTGGGCAGGATCTGCCTCCATCCGCGGCAGCGCTGACGCAATTTCGCTCCATAAAAGCGACTTGGGAACGGGAGGGGGCTGGGCTGGGGACAGCGGTGGGGATTGTCTGGCTTTGGAATGAGGTTCGAGAGGTGGTGCTGTGCCTCGGTGTCCCTGACTTTAAGCACCAGGATGTCCTTTTCCTTTCCGAGGTGCTCAGGGAATCGCAGCAGATGTTGCTGTAGCGGCTCCACCTCGTGTCCGAACCCACCTCGTGCCCAAAGCCTGGTCCAGAGTTGTTTTGAGATGGGACACCCAAAACCCACCCCCACATCCGACAGCATCATCCTTCACCTCCCACCAGGCTCCAAAACCTCTCTCACTGTCACAGGAAGTTCAATATTTATGGAGTTTTTAAAATAGAATGTATTTGGCTTAAGTTCCACATTTGGGCCCATTTCTGCGTTTTTGCAGCCCCCAAGGGCCAGAATTGCCTTTTTCTGTTTGTCTCTCTCACCTGTTTTCAGGAAGCCCGTGGCACTGGGATTTTCTGGCCCCTGCAGACCCTCTCTCAGCCCCTGGGAGCTCAGGATGGGCTGAGTTAGGCTGGCTCAGCACAAATCGAGCACTTGGCATTGCCCTGAGCTGGGATCTCCATCCCTCCTCCCACAGAGCTGGGCTGTGTTGGGGACAGAACCGCCCTACGTGTCCCATTGTCCTGGCCACCACTCCTGGGGGATGTTTTCCCCCAGAGCTGGGTCCTGGGTGTCCTCTGGGACACGGATAACCCTGGGCCACCTCCTGTCCCCTCCCTGGGCAGTGCTGCTCCTCCGGCCGTGTCAGACACTTGCCCCAGTCCTGCACCAGCATCTCCAGTGCTCAAAAGGCCTTCCCTGCCTCCCCACAGCTGTCCCTGGCTGGGGACAGGTTCAGCTCATGGCCATGGCAGCGGCCCCAGGGCATCCCCAGGGCGGGGCTCTCATCTGGATCCATCTCTCCCGATTTCTTCCCTCCTCCCTCCTGAAACAGCCCTGGAGAAGCCAAAGAAGCTACCAGAGATGGGAGGGAAGAGGCAGCCCCGCTGCCCAGCTGACCTAAGCCAATTCCCAGCATCTGGGACTGCTGGAAACCCTTTTCTTTCTCCGGGAAGGGTCTCCAGGCTCCCAGCACTCAGGAAAAGCCACCAGCAGTGTTAGCAGGGCACTGTGCAGAGGAGCAGACGCTGCACCGGTCCCTGTGCCCTGGCAAGCCAAGTGTACTGGTTAAACTGGCCCAGGGTGGAAAACAACCTCCACACGCTCCTCAAGCAGCTACAGCTCCCTCTGAGCAAGGCCCTTGCAGAGGCTGATGCTGGTGGAGGAAGGGATGAGGGGAGACAGAAGGACAGGGCAGGACAGACCTCAGCACTGCGGGCATTTTGCTTTCTGTCTCTGCCACCCTAAACCTCAGAGAGACCCCAAAGCCCACCCAAGAAAGGAAACAGAGGCACAGAGGAGACTCGGTGAGGAGAGATTTGGTAAGAAGAGACTTTTAATCAGACTCCGATACAGCTCTTAGAGGGTTTCTCTCGATGGCCGAGGAGCCCGGCGCACGGGGAGCTACTGCGGCTACGAGGGGACACTACGAGCTCTGTGCTTTACCTGTACACGAGGGTTTCGCCAGTGTTGTGCTTGTCCCAGGGGAAGCAGCCGCATCCTGCGTGCTCCCGTGGCTGTGCCATGTCCCTCCCGGCCACCAAGGCCACCCGGCCCCGCTCCTGCCAGCGAGACCCGCGCTCGGGAAGGCTTGGGGCCATTAGAAGGCAGTGGGAGTTGCTTCTGGGGGGTGCTGGGGCTTAATGTGACCTGTCAGGGTCTGGGCAGGAGCTGAGAGGTGAGGAAGGGGCTGTTTTGGAGGGAATGAGGGGAAGGAGCCGTGGGACACCCTGGGCTCCCAGCTCCAGCCATCCCCTCTGCCTCGCACTGGGGTCGAGGTCGCTGCAGCAGAGGCCGATGTGGGACAGAGCTCACAACTGCAGCCCTACAGGCTGGACCTGCAGCTCCAGCACCGCAGGGTGTTCCTCTCCAGAAACCTCCTTTTTTCCCTGTTTAAACCCACTGAACACCCTCCCCGTAGAGAGGGAACAGGGTTTGGACCCCTCCTGACCTCCCCAGCACCTCCTCGTCCCCCAGCCGGGGACAGCAGCCTGCTCTGAGCAGCAGGGTCAGGGCTGGGAACCCCTCAGGGAGCTGATGTGGGGGGACAGGGGTATCGGCAGTGGTTCCCCCCTCTTTGTCCCACTGCCTGAAGGAAAACCGAAAAGTGCCTGTGCTCACAACTAGCAGCTATTCCCTGTGCCTCTGTGCAGAAAAAGAGGAGAAGAAGTGATTTCTAGGGCTAAAAGCCACTGGGGGTCGGCCCTTTCCACAGCCTGGGACCCCAAGAAGGTGTGTGGAGGGAGAACCTGCCCCGGCAAGCGGGAGAAACCCCCACGCAGGCTCCAAAAGTGAGCGAGTACAGCCAGAAGTGAATCCTAAAGCCACCCACGCACACGGACACGCGCACACCCCACACACGGCATCTACGGACGAACACGCGCACGCTCCCACGGCGACAACACGGAGCTCCTAAAACCTAACACACACACACTCCCCCCCAACACCCCGTGTCTAACACCGAGCAAATGCCACGACAAAATACAGTATTTCCACGGATAAAAGTAAAGGTGTCGTCCTCCTCCTCCTCCTCCTCCTCCTCTCTGCTGGATCCCCAGGGCAGCTGGACACCCTGGGGCTGGGGGGAGAAGGGGACGTGCACCCACCACACACAAGAAATAAAAAGGTAAAAATATGCCCTGCTATAGAATGAGAATTGATCTGTACAGCACTGGGAATGAAAATAGGTCATGGGCCACTTTGGAATACGATTTGTCATTTAACAGCATTTACAGTGACATTTACAGAATAAATATACAATAGAAATAGAGAATCTCTAGGTTATTATTCCATCTCCTCTCTCTGTATTTATTTTATATATATATCTATATATATATAATATAGCTTCTTTGTTTCCTCCTTATTGACTTTGCCTCCTATTGATGCTGCAAGAGGAGAGGAAAGCGAGCCCCTCCCCGGCTGGTTTGGGAACGGGGGTGGGAGAGACGGAGGGCCGGATCCTTCACCCCAGGGTTCAAGGAGCATCATGCCATGGGAGCACTCGGGACTGAGCCATGGGAGGTGTCCTGCTCCATTAACTCCATGGGAGCTACGGTGGGAATCCGGCCCCCAGGCTCGGGGGAGCCGGGGAGGTGATGCTGGGCAAGGATTTGACCGATCCGCTGTTCTGCTGGTCAGGTGAGGATGGACCCCATTGGAAATGTTGCCTAATGATGGGGAAATGGATTTGGGCATCTCCCTTCCAGAGATGATGCCATAGGGACGTTTCTGTGTCCCTCTTGCATGGCAAAGGAAGGAGAAAGACTTGGGGGGGATGAGGAAGGGGGAATTTCTGGAGGAGAGTGGTGGCTGACCCTGACTCACAGATCTGCCTCTTGGAACCATCACTGAGCTGCTTTGGTTCAGTCCTCTCCTCCATCTTCCCCCCAGAAAAACAGTTAACGAAGGGCTTGAGCTAATTGTCCAGGAAGAGTGTCCACCTCACCAGCCAAGTCCATGGAGAAGACTGCGAATAAAGAATCACACTCACAAGAGATGTCACTGTGGGAACCTCCTGGCCCCAGGGATGCTGAGAGCCAGGAATGCTGAAAGTCAGGGGTGTGGTGAATGGACCAGCTGCTTTCTGCCTTCACCTCCAGCCAAAAGGAGAGCCAAGGCAAGAGAAAAGCCATTGACAGGAAAGCAGAGGAGAGAAGGGCTCATGAACCAGCACCCACAAACATGGCCTTCAGAGCAGCCTGAAAGATCTTCATGCACAGCCCAAGCCCAGCAGGACCCAGGATGAGGCACTCCCCAGACTTTGGAGGCAACAGAGTGTGCAAGGAGGCTGCTGC